TGGTGCACCATATGTGGCCTGCCCCGCCACCATCATGGTACCCCAGTGGTGCACCATATGTGGCCTGCCCCGCCACCATCATGGTACCCCAGTGGTGCACCATATGTGGCCTGCCCCGCCACCATCATGGTACCCCAGTGGTGCACCATATGCGGCCTGCCCCGCCACCATCATGGTACCCCGGTGGTGGCACCATATGTGGCCTGCCCCGCCACCATCATGGTACCCCGGTGGTGCACCATATGTGGCTGCCCCGCCACCATCATGGTACCCCGGTGGTGCATCATATGTGGCCTGCCCCGCCACCCTCATGGTACCCGGTGGTGCACCATATGTGGCCTGCCCCGCCACCATCATGGTACCCCGGTGGTGCACCATATGTGGCCTGCCCCGCCACCATCATGGTACCCCGGTGGTGCACCATATGTGGCCTGCCCCGCCACCATCATGGTACCCGGTGGTGCACCATATGTGGGCCTGCCCCGCCACCATCATGGTACCCACCCGGTGGTGCACCATATGTGGCCTGCCCCGCCACCATCATGGTACCCCGGTGGTGCACCATATGTGGCCTGCCCCGCCACCATCATGGTACCCGGTGGTGCACCATATGTGGCCTGCCCGCCACCATCATGGTACCCCGGTGGTGCACCATATGTGGCCTGCCCCGCCACCATCATGGTACCCCGGTGGTGCACCATATGGTGCCACCATCATGGCCTGCCCCGCCACCATCATGGTACCCCGGTGGTGCACCATATGTGGCCTGCCCCGCCACCATCATGGTACCCCGGTGGTGCACCATATGTGGCCTGCCCCGCCACCATCATGGTACCCCGGTGGTGCACCATATGTGGCCTGCCCCGCCACCATCATGGTACCCCGGTGGTGCACCATATGTGGCCTGCCCCGCCACCATCATGGTACCCCGGTGGTGCACCATATGTGGCCTGCCCCCGCCACCATCATGGTACCCGGTGGTGCACCATATGTGGCCTGCACCACCCCCATCATGGTACCCCGGTGGTGCACCATATGTGGCCTGCCCCGCCACCATCATGGTACCCCGGTGGTGCACCATATGTGGCCTGCCCCGCCACCGCCCCCTACACCCACACTCTCCTCGCTGCCCAGGTGCTTCCTATACTAACTATGATGACAAAGTACCTCGATGAAGGATAAATAAAATGATAATTAAGGCTATACAAAGAAATGTTTCCCGGGATCTGGACACGCTGCCGAGGTCGTTATAGATTTAATTTTCGCGCGCTTTCTCGGAACAGTTGCCAAGTATGGCTGTAATTCCTGACCGTGGCGTTTCTTTCAGGTTAAACACTATTTATTATTAAACACCCTTATACGGCACCTACTCCTATTAATTAATTATATTATTATAATTATTGTTGTAATTACTAATAATTATTACCCTTCCTTCTGCTGGGTCATGAAGGAAGCCGGCTTCGGGTGAAAGGGGGCTGTGAGGATCTCTGTCAGGAACCCGTAGGTGCGGGACGCAGACATCCACCTCCTGGGGGTCGTGCGGCCCCCAGGCTCTGCTTCAGGAGGCTGGGGCGGGTCTTCTGCGGCCCCGACCACAGTACTCTCCGGGTTGTGAGTCCCTGTGACTTCTTTTACCAACTTCGAGGTCAACTCCGGAGCTGGAGCTCCCTAGGGGCAGTTCATTGTTGCCTTCAACCTCCTTCTGACACTTCCTGCGACGGCGCCTGAACCAATCGTATTGGCCTTTGCCTTTCCATTGGAGACTTTCCGCGCCGTGGAGAGGGAGGGGGGGTGAAGATGGACTTGCTGCATGGGTGACAGCTTCTCCCCCTTATCAACCTACCCTGGCTTTTGTGCCCTGGAGAGGGGAGGAAGCTGCTGCATGGGTAACAACTTCTCCCCTGTATAAACCTACCCTGGCTTTGCGCCCTGGAGAGGGGAGGAAGCTGCTGCATGGGTAACAACTTCTCCCTGTATCAACCTACCCTGGCTTTGCGCCCTGGAGAGGGGAGGAAGCTGCTGCATGGGTAACAACTTCTCCCCTGTATCAACCTACCCTGACCTTGTGCCCTGGAGAGGGGAGGAAGCTGCTGCATGGGTAACAACTTCTCCCCTGTATCAACCTACCCTGGCTTTGCGCCCTGGAGAGGGGAGGAAGCTGCTGCATGGGTAACAACTTCTCCCCCCTGTATCAACCTACCCTGACCTTGTGCCCTGGAGAGGCCACTCCAGACCGACAACCAGAGCCCAACTCCATAGTCTCCTGAGACTGATGGACGCCTGCTACTGCAGCTAAAATAATAATCAGAATTTCATCATAATTTTAACAATAAATAGCAAAAAATATATAATAAAAATTTTAATTTGCAAGACGGCACAATGTGTTGTGAGATTACACAATGCTGGCATTTTGACATGCACGCAAAGGCACTAACACGCATACCGTTTCAGGCAGGAGATCCAATTCAGGAGTAATATAGATATATTACCACTATAAAACATGAAAAACAAAATACATGTATATCTGGCCGTGTGAGGACGGTAATGGCTGATGTTCAGGAGTTGAGAAGTACAGTTTATTTGGTTGTATATTATTGTGTTGTAGGTTGTGAGTGACGCGTACAACACGGACACCCTTAGGAGGCCAGTCACGCCTGTACACTCCTGTGTACAGTCACGCCTGGACACTGTACGTCAGTGTACACTCCTGTGTACAGTCACGCCTGGACACTGTACGTCAGTGTACACTCCAGTGTACAGTCACGCCTGGACACTGTACGTCAGTGTACACTCCTGTGTACAGTCACGCCTGTACACTGTACGTCAGTGTACACTCCTGTGTACAGTCACGCTTGTACACTGTACATCAGTATACACTCCTGTGTACAGTCACGCCTGTACACTGTACGTCAGTGTACACTCCTGTGTACAGTCACGCTTGTACACTGTACATCAGTATACACTCCTGTGTACAGTCACGCTTGTACACTGTACGTCAGTATACACTCCTGTGTACAGTCACGCCTGTACACTGTACGTCAGTGTACACTCCTGTGTACAGTCACGCTTGTACACTGTACATCAGTATACACTCCTGTGTACAGTCACGCTTGTACACTGTACGTCAGTATACGCTCTGTGTACAGTCACGCCTGTACACTGTACGTCAGTGTACACTCCTGTGTACAGTCACGCTTGTACACTGTACGTCAGTATACACTCCTGTGTACAGTCACGCTTGTACACTGTACGTCAGTATACACTCCTGTGTACAGTCACGCCTGTACACTGTACGTCAGTGTACACTCCTGTGTACAGTCACGCTTGTACACTGTACGTCAGTGTACACTCCTGTGTACAGTCACGCCTGGACACTGTACGTCAGTGTACAGTCACGCCTGGACACTGTACGTCAGTGTACAGTCACGCCTGGACACTGTACGTCAGTGTACAGTCACGCCTGGACACTGTACGTCAGTATACACTCCTGTGTACAGTCACGCCTGTATACTGTACGTCAGTATACACTCTGTGTACAGTCACGCTTGTACACTGTACGTCAGTATACACTCCTGTGTACAGTCACGCTTGTACACTGTACGTCAGAATACACTCCAGTGTACTGTCACGCTTGTACACTGTACGTCAGTGTACACTCCAGTGTACAGTCACGCCTGGACACTGTACGTCAGTGTACACTCCAGTGTACAGTCACGCTTGTACACTGTACGTCAGTATACACTCCTGTGTACAGTCACGCTTGTACACTGTACGTCAGTGTACACTCCAGTGTACAGTCACGCCTGGACACTGTACGTCAGTGTACACTCCAGTGTACAGTCACGCCTGGACACTGTACGTCAGTGTACACTCCAGTGTACAGTCACGCCTGGACACTGTACGTCAGTGTACACTCCAGTGTACAGTCACGCCAGTTTTGAATGTCAAGGGCCTTCTCTACAGGGTTGGAATAACCCCTCATACTAGGCTGTCTTTCTCTCGTCTTATTCCCCATAATATTACATAGATTTACAATTCGTTTATCAGTAATAATTATTTGGTTTACCGGTCATGTGTAATGAGTGTAAACACGTGTTGCGTTTTATTGTCATCTTTATTATTCACAAAGGTGGTACACGTTAATGTTCCCCCCCCCCACACACCCTGCCACCTCCACACCCCCTGCCCCTCCACACCCCCCTGCCCCCTCCACACGCCCCCCCTGTCCTCCCCGACCAAACAAACCAATCAGACCCAACATTTAAATGGCATTGTAAACTTTCCTTCTCTTTATCTGGAGGTAATTTTGGTCACGATGTCATCCAAGCCCTTCACGTTTGGGGCACAGGGTAGCAGAAGGGAAGGGGGGTAGGTGAGGGGGTAGGGAAGGGGGTGAGGGGCAAGTGGGTGATGGGAAGGGGGTTGAAGGGAGGTGGGGTAGGCAAGGGACATCCCATTGATGGGTTGGTGATGGTTTAATATTGATTTACAACCAATTAAGGGGCATGGAAACAGGATATCTAATGAATCTTAAATTTAGGTTGACGATCTCATCTCGAATCCTAAAGAAGAAAAGTCAAACCGGAAGGAATAAGGCTGCGTGGTCTAAGAGACCCACAGGATTATCTCTAGAGGATGGAACACTTAGCTTGTCTCCTATCCTGCGGCCAGAAAATGAGCTTGGGAAAGCCAGTCCCGCCCGGGTGGTGGGAGTAGGGAAGGGTGATGTTCCAGGGAGGAGGAGGAGGAGGAGTAATAGAGAATAAATAGGTAAAGAGATAAGGGATAACGGGAGAGTCAGGAGGAGAGATATGTAGAATATTACTGCAGCCTGGCAGCTCGATGCTCCCATTTTCTGACTCATCTGCAACACTCACTCACTGTCTCTCTCTGTCTGTCTCTCTCTCTCTCTCTCTCTCTCTCTCTCTCTCTCTCTCTCTCTCTCTCTCTCTCTCTCTCTCTCTCTCTCCCCCCCACCTTTGCTGGTGCCGAGTACTCACCAATCGTCGAGCAGCACTAAGCTTCCAACTCACCTGAAAATAGACAATAGACATTAATAGTGAGCAAGATGTGAGTATGAGTACATAACAGAGATGATCACCTCACAGCTCCCGACACACTCCTCACGCCGTAACCATAGTTGTTGTTGTTGTTGTTGTTGTAGATTTAGCTACTCAGAACCAAGTGTCCATGTAGCACGGGCTATGGTGAGCCCGTAAATGTAACCATAGTTCCCTCTCACTTTTATCCACTTGGACTTCAATAAAGAGGGGTGGGGGAGGTCAGATGAGGGGGGGGGAGGGAGGGGAAGATAGGGAAGGTGTTGTGAGGGGGAAGGGGGAGGAGGGGGGGGGGGTGTCAGTACTAGTTTGGCTTCCCTCATTTCACTACTTCCTGGATTATTCTGGTTAAACATTATTTGACTATTGTTAAATAGTTAATATAAATAGTTAAATATTATATTATTAAATACAATATCTATTATTAAATACAATATTACTAAATGCAATGTGTGAGAGGTAATCAGTGTACTAGGTGGGAGGCATTACAGGTGTGTGGTTCACGGGTGTGTAATACTTTGTGGCTCTGTCTACTATCTTGAGATGATTTCGGGGCTTAGCGTCCGCGCGGCCCGATCCTCGACCAGGCCTGCTTTCTGTTACACACCCCCAGGAAGCTGCCCGTAGCAGCTGTCTAACTCCCAGGTTCCTATTTACTACTAGGTGAATAGGGCATCTGGGTGAAAGAAACTCTGCCCATTTGTGTCCGCCTCCACCGGGAATCGAACCCGGAAGCTCAGGACTACGAATCCGAAGCGCTGTCCACCCAGCTGTCAGGCCTTTACTATGTAATACTCTGTGTACTATCTTGCCTGGTTGATGCCTGGTTGATACCTGGTTGATGGGGTTCTGGGAGTTCTTCTACTCCCCAAGCCCGGCCCGAGGCCAGGCTTGACTTGTGAGAGTTTGGTCCACCAGGCTGTTGCTTGGAGCGGCCCGCAGGCCCACATACCCACCACAGCTCGGTTGGTCCGGCACTCCTTGGAGGAATAAATCTAGTTTCCTCTTGAAAATGTCCACGGTTGTTCCGGCAATATTTCTTATGCTTGCTGGGAGGACGTTGAACAACCGCGGAACAACTTCACATGTTTCTAAATGTTAAAGAGCCAACTGTTACCTTGCCTCACACCTCACGCCACCCATTATAGTCTACTCTTCTCTTACATCAGTTCAATCTCTTAAAAGTTTGGTGGAGTAAAAAAGTGAGTTAAGTATTTAGCAAATCGTAAAAGTTACAATTGTATAAGTTCATGAAGTGAGCTGATGTTGACGTGCTGTGGTCCTCTCTCTTGGTCCCTTTATGTTGATATTCTCTGGCGGGTTTATGAGCAGCAGCACCAGCAGCAGGAGCAGCAGCAGCAGCACCAGCACCAGCACCAGCAGCAGCACCAGCACCAGCAGCAGCAGCAGCACCACCACCAGCAGCAGCACCACCAGCAGCAGCAGCAGCAGCAGTAGCAGCACCACCAGCAGCAGCAGCAGACAACAACGCCCAGTGACCTCCAGCATGAGGAAGGCTGACGGAGGAAGAAACATGCACTTTCTTTTGTCTTCCCGCCCGACTCTCCCGCCAACATTATATCAACGTGTCACAGGCCGCCGGAGCCGTCACCCGACAGGTTGTGCGGGCCGGGACACCACAGAACAATACCTTACCCAAGTTGGAAACGCCAATTTCGCGGGAACAAGCGAAGATAATCACTTGATTACGCCCTGATATAAGAGATCTATTACCAAGTAAATTATTATAATCGTGTAATGTACGGTAGTCTTAGCATTTATTCCCTTTAGATAATTTGTATAAAAATAACATTACAACGATAATATTCAAATATGAGATGAGAGGAGAGAGAGAGAGAGAGAGAGAGAGAAGATCGAGGAGAGACGACAAGAGAGGAGAGAAGGAGAGAGAGAGAGAGAGAGAGAGAGACGGACAGAGAGAGAGAACAGGAGAAGGAGAGAGAGAGAGAGAAGAGGACGAGAGAGAGCAAAGAGATAGAGAGAGAGAGAGAGGCGGAGAGAGAGAGAGAGAGAGAGAGAGAGAGAAGAGAGATGAGAGAGAGAGAGAGAGAGAGACGGATGATGGGAGGAGAGAGACGAGAGAGAGAAGAAGACAGAATGAGAGAGACGATGGAGAGAGGACGAGAGAGGAGATGAGAGGAGAGCGAGAGGACCTTTGAGAGAGAGAGAGAGAGAGACGAGAGAGATGAGAGAGTAGAACCGAGAATGAGAGGAGAGTAGAGAGAGGAGAGAGAAGGAGAGGGAGGATGGGGGGTAGAGAGAGAGAGAGAGGAGAGAGAGAGGAGAGAGAGAGAGAGAGAGAGAGAGAGAGAGAGAGAGAGAGAGAGAGAGAGAGAGAGAGAGAGAGAGAGACGGGAGAGAGACGGAGAGAGACGGAGGAGAGATGAGAGAGAGAGAGAATGAGAGAGGAATGAGAGAGAATGAGAGAGAGACACGGAGAGAGAATGAGAGAGAGAGAGACAGATGGCATTTTCCTGGATTGTCAGAAAGCTTGTGTGGGTGAAGGAGTACCTTTCAGAAGGAAATTAGAGAGTCATAGTACGAGGAGAGCTGTCAAAACGAAGAGCGTAATGCCACAAGGGTCGGTGCTAGGGGGTTCATCCTGTTCCTAGTATACGGAGACAATCTAAGAAAGTAAATAAGTTCATTTTAATCCGTGTTTGCTAACGATGCTAGGCGAATAAGACTAATCAGAACTGAGGAGGACTGCAGTACTTTACAAGATGAACTACACAACCTCCAATAGTCTGTGAAATGGCTACTAGACTTTAACCCTGCCAAATGCAAGGTTACGAGGATAAGAGTTGGCGCAAGAAGACCTCAAATACAATACACAATGAAGGGCAGGCAACTTCCAACTTCAGAAAATGAGACAGACGTGTGAGTGAAGATAACTGGAGATCTACCACCAGAGACACAGCAGGATAACGAGGGCAGCATACACCATACTGGTAATGGCTAGGTTATCCTTCAGCAACTTGAACAAAGATCCCTTCTGAGCGCTGCATACATCCTTCGTGAGACCTGTCATTGAGTATGCTGCCCCGGCATGGAACCCCTACTTGAGGTTATCTTGAGGTTATCTTGAGATGATTTCGGGGCTTTTTAGTGTCCCCGCGGCCCAGTCCTCGACCAGGCCTCCAACCCAGGAAGCAGCTCGTGACAGCTGACTAACTCCCAGGTACCTATTTACTGCTAGGTAACAGGGGCATTCAGGGTGAAAGAAACTTTGCCCATTTGTTTCTGCCTCGTGTGGGAATCGAACCCGCGCCACAGAATTACGAGTCCTGCGCGCTATCCACCAGGCTACGAGGCTACTGAAAGAAGAACATAACAAAACTAGAAAATGTCCAAAATTTTGCAACAAGGGTCGTTCCTGAGCCATGGGGAATGAACAATAATGAAAGACTTACGGAACTGAACCTCACTACATTGCAGGAAAGAAAGAATAGGGCAGACATGATAACAACGTACAAGATACTAAGGGGCCCCTGACAAAGCAGATATAGAAGCAATGATCAAATTAAGGAACAGTAAAACATGAGGACATAACTGGAGACAGGAAACAGGAGTGACAGGGACCTCACAACAAAGTGGTCGAGTGTCAAGAGTGGTAAATACCAGGAGTGTACCTGGATGGGTTTTGAGAGTTCTCCTCCTCTCTAGGCCTGGGTGCTAGATTCACGAAACAGTTACGCAAGCACTTACGAACCAGTACATCTTTTCTCAATCTTTGGCGGCTTTGTTTGCAATTATTAAACAGTTAATGAGCTCCGAAGCACCAGGAGGCTGTTTATAACAATAACAACAGTTGAATGGGAAGTTTTCATGTTTGTAAACTGTTTAATAGATGTAACCAAAGCCGTCAAAGGTTGAGGAAAGATGTACACGTTCGTAAGTACTTGCGTAACTGCTTCGTGAATCTGGCCCCTGACCCGTAAGTTTCCCAGGTGAAAAGTGTCACCGTACTGAACTAATGGTGGTGGAAAGGCGGGGCTTAAGAGCAGCTGCTCGACCCTACAAGCACAACTAGGTGAGCACAGACAGACTCTGAGGTAGAGCCCAGGCACCTGACCCCCCGCCCCGGGGATGGGGGGGGGGGGGGTCCTAGGGTGGGTGGGGAGTTGCCTGTCCTCCCCGGTGGCTAGATCAACCATCCCCTGGGGGCCACCACCTGACTACCCTCCACTACCCCACCTATCCAGTCTTAACTACCACCACATCCCCGGAGGCGGCTGCTTACCGTCCTCGGCATAACCTGATCTAGCCCATCTTACCTTGTAGCAGCTCTCCGGGCTAGCCCACACCCGCGCCACTCTGGCCTAACCTCACCTAGTAAGTGTTAATTACGACACCAGCCAGTGGTAAGAGATCACAGGTTCAGTTTCATCAAATCAGTCACATTTACTAGTGTAAATTTACTAGAGTGTAAATGTAAATAAATGTAAACACTTATGCAAGTGAGGCGTATATATGAGGCCTCGCGTTTTCTCTAGTAAATGTGACTAATTTGATGAAAAACGAACATGTGATCTCTTACCATTGGCTGGTGTCGTTAGGGGTTGATATCTTGGGGAAATAGTTGCCGACTGTCAACACTTTTAACGACCTGCCATGGTGTAGGGGTTAGTGTACTGGTTATGCCAAGGTGTACAACTCAATTGAGTTCTTGCTGTTACATATTACTTATGCGTTTATGCAAGTTCCTTTTTTTATGATGTCTTCGACATAACTATTGGAGAAACCATTGTTGACTAAAATCTGTCTTATTCTAGACAACAACGTCTCTCTCTAGGCGTTTAACACTGCACAAACAACAGGGCTCCATCAAGGAACACATAATCACCACACACAACGAGACGATCATCAGGGATATTTTGACGAGCAACACAGAAATAATTGATAGATACAATGACAATAGAAGATTAGACATCAGTGAAGCGCTGCATGTC